TAACTCATGCTCTAGAAGAATCTCGCCAGTTGTGCCAATGACCTAGTAGCTTAGGATTTAGTTCAACAGTTTAGTTCTACAGGCATTCATTGAATTTTATTTGTACAGGTGCCAGAGTTGGAGGCAAAGAAAGTAGACAAAAGTGAGATAGCTTTATGGGATCCTTCCCATTCTCATTTTGTTTTAATTATTTTTCCTCAAAATTTTATGATGAAAAAATTTCAATATCTAGAAGAGTTAAAAGAAGTTAAAGCACCCATACAGCACCATCTAGAATCTACAATTACCTTTACTACAATGATTTTTTCATATATCTATTCATTGTCCATCCTTCCTCCTCCTCCTCCTGCTCTCCTTCCTCTTTCTCTTTCTCTTTCTCTTTCTCTTTCTCTTTCTCTTTCTCTTTCTCTTTCTCTTTCTCTTTCTCTTTCTCTTTCTCTTCCTTCTCCTTCTCCTTCTCCTCCTTCTTTGGTTGAGACAGGGTCTTACTATCAGTGCAGGCTTGAACTCACTATGTAGTCCAGGTTGGCCTTGAACTCCCAGCAATCCTTCTGATTCAGGCTCCTGAGTGCTGGGATTACAGACATATGCCATCCACCTGGCCATCCACCTTCTTGTTGCTATTATTGTCATTGTCCACGCATTCAAAAAAGGTACAGATACATGCCATCTATAAGCACCTCAGCAGGCATAATGTGATCTAGAACTTACTTCAAATTAGTTTTTATTTTGATGCCAATATGTGTGATTCCAAAAGCAGCCTTCCTTTGACCAGAAGACACAACTTCACAACAGTTGAAAACCGAGAAAGGTTATCAGGGTAACCGAGGTAAGTGTCAGGGGAATCATTCACCTAAACTTCTCTACTTCCCTAGATTAAGAGATGAATCAGCCTTTCAGGGCTCAAAGTGGTTTGCTTGTGACAAATTCTAGGAAAGTTCTGTGTCTCTAAAGGGAGGGTCATAAGCTGTGCATTTCTGGGATGCAGCCAAAAATACATAGGAAAGACAGAGAACAGTGAGAGGTTTTATGCAATGGTTAGTCACGTGTGGCTTCGGGGTCAGAACCTTGGTGGATAGAATAGACCAAGTCTGTCCTGATTGCTCTCACCCGGATGGAAATGGGAATCACATGAACCCCACTTTACTGGGTATATTTGGATGTCTTCAACCACCCAATACGTTAATGACCTTCATAAATTAGTGTTTACAAAAGAATCTGGCCTAGATTTGGAGCCAACTGCTTTCCTAGGTTCAGTGAGTCTGAGAACCTAATATGGAGTGATTCTGAGATATCTGTCATTTAATGAATAGCAGCTACAGTACCACAAGAGGCACATTATGAAAATCTGCAAGAAAGAACTTTTGAGTTGACATTTTAAAGAAGAAGAAAAAATGAAAATGATGAGCTGTTTAAGATGTCCACTTACTTATATCTTTAGAAAGAAATTCAGTAAGCTCTATAGATGAAGAAAATAAAATATTGGCAAAAAAAGAAAAAAGTGTAATATGTTGTTCATGTGGGTGTCTTTAAAGATTATAATGGAATTGTTTGAAATCATTTAGGGAATGCTGTGCTCATTGCCATATGCTGAAGTTTTATGTTTCTCAGAATTCCAAGGGTGGCCTGTGGTCTTATACACAGCTGCCTACTCTACTTCTCCAACCTCATTTCCAATGATGGGCTGAAAAAGGCTCAAAGCTCCATGTACAGTGTCCCATTTCCCTTCTCACAAATGGGCCCTGTGACAGAGAAACACTACATGCCCTGTCTTCCAATCTTAAAATTTCTTCCCCCTTCCACTTTTATTTTAATTCATTTTAAACCATCTAGCTTTTCAGATTTTTACTTCTTTATTCTTAAGGATACCTGCAAAAGGAATTCTGGGGCTGTGCCCTGGCCATGCATACCCTTGAACTTAGCTTCTACCAGTGACCAACTTCTGAAAGACAAAAGGAGGTGAAGCTCTCATTTCGGTGATGTCTGAGGAGTGGAGGAGATTTTGAATCCTAGAGGATGCTCTGAAAGGTGTCAGAATTGAAGTATCTCTCCAAGAATACTGCAAATAAAGATGTGGCAAAATTATCAGGTAGGCCATTCTTTCTTGTTTTATTGTACTGAAGGTTGTCCTTGCAAATGCTACTTGTAACAAGGAGCCTTTCAAGATATCTGTCCTTCAGAGGTTACCACAGTGACCAATAGGTTGCAATATTTAATTTCTAAAGTCTAGTTTAACAATTGTTTATCTTGCTTGAAGACCAGTTTTCTAGGTAATAATTTAAAAGGACATATCCAGCTTCTGAAAGGATATTTTTAAGTTTATCATTAGCCTGGAGAGCTTTGAAAATGTACTTCTTTGCTTCTCTCACATAAAAGTGTAACAAAACAAGATACCCAGAAACTGAGAACTTTATGCTTTTGTTAGCAAACAGTTTTGTGGGTCAGAGAGTTGGCAAGGATAAGGCTGAGTGTCTTGTCTGATCCATACGCATGGGTTGTGTCATGTGTCCCAGTGCTGTTGGCCTCTCTTTTTCCTTATGATGTATCTTCTAGGGCTTCTCCTTCACATGGCATGAGGTCCTTCCAAAAAGGTGAACTCACTCAGTGTCATTGCTCTTCTTACAGCTCAGCTGATTTCCACAAAACAAGAAGTGGAAGCTGCCAGGGCACTTCAGAGCCACACTGGGAAATGGCATTGTGTCACTTCCACCACATCACGAAGCATGCACAAGCTCTTCCTAGACTCAAGAGAAAAAGAAGCAAAGTCTACTTTTGATGAAATTTCAAGGTCACATTTCAGAACAAGAGCTTGTGAGATGGGAGATACTATTTGGGCCATCATAGGAAAATGGAATCTTCCAGAAGATGATAAACAATGGCTCTGGGAAACAATGTTTAGCTATGGAGATTGTGAGGTGAAGTGGTTCCTGTAGACTTAGGGGGACAGGTATTGATAGGAATGAGAAAGAGAGAGAGAGTGAGAGAGAGAGAGAGAGAGAGAGAGAGAACCAGAAGCTAAGAGCTGCATGATGAATAGGGTAAAACCAGATTCTAGAGAAGGAAAGAAAATTCCAGGCAAGGCAAAGGCACAGCAAATCAACCACAAGGAACAGGCACAGTTCAGAGTCTTAAAGAAGCTCTGCATGGTGGGAAAGGATGGGGCATGTGCACATGCAGGCATGTGTGGGTGTGTATGTTAAGCAAGCTATTAAGGGTGAAGCCATTTCAAAGATATCACAGAACTTTCTATGGATAGTAGTAAGAAGCCATTAAGGATTTTAGACAATTGTTACTGCATTTGCCTGCAACTTGGAGACTGGATAGGCCAGTGGCAAGCTTGAAGGTAGGAAGAGTAGGGTAGCTATTGGAAAAGATGGACAAAGTGGGAATGACTGGGTGTATTCCGAGATCTTAGGAATTAGGATCCACAGGGTTTCAAGGTGAAAGAGCCAGAGAGAGGAGAGCTTGTATTTCAGACTCAGGCAATTGATTGTTTACTTTTCTGGTAGGAAATGCAGAATCATTTTATAAGGACTGAAGGTGCTGGACAGTGTTCATATTTCTATTTTACTTGGAGACAGTTGTGCAAGTAATTGTATTGTGATATGCAGCAATATTATTCCATGGCACTTCTAACATTGACATATATTTTCTTATTTACTCTTGAGTCACCTAAGTCAGATGGGAAGTATGAGCCCTAGATATATGTAGGGAAAAGTCTTTGTTCTTCTACTAATTTATTTTTCTTTTTAGAGCAGGAGCTTACAAACTGAGGCAAAATCAAAAGGACATATAACCATTACCTTTTTTGGATAGTCTGAGTGCTAAGAATGGTTATTACAGTTTCAAGTGATTGAAATAAAAACACTGAAAGAATAACATTTTTGTGACAAAAGAAATTATATAAATTCAAAACTATATGCCTCCTATGAATTCAGGTCTCAGTATCCATGATTAAAGATTCATTGAAATATAATCACATCCATTAATTTATGTCTGCTTCCTTGCTCCAAAGGTAAACTGGAGCAGGCCCCACAGAAAATCTCTGCAGCCTGCAAAGTCAAAAACATTTACTTTTTGGTCCTTAAAGATATAGTTTTCCCATCTTGTTTTAGAGACACTGATTTTTTTTCCTGTCTCAAAAGTAGGCACCTTCTGGTGTTTACAGAACACCAGGCACAGCCTTGTCTTCACCTCTGATTCATAGGCCCAGCAATAAACCAGGTCCCCTCATTGCAAAAGGTTTTATCTTTCAGGGACAAGTTTCCAATTTGTTTGCTGTATCCCACCACTGATCAAGCTCGTTTGTTTAATTTTGGTACTGGGTATGGAACCCAGGGCCTTCACACTGAACTACCTACGTTCCCAGGCATTTGCTTTTTTGAGATAAGGTTTTCCTAAATTGCCCAGGTGGGACTTGAAATTGTGATCCTCCAGCTATAGCCTCCTAAAGTGCTGCGATTAGAAGCATGTGCCACGAGGTCCAGGTAACAGCTAAGCTCTTGGCCAACTGTCTCCCTACTACAGTATGTACGTGTTCTCTCTTGGCAGAAACAGAAACGTCTTGTCTCTTGCCTCATTCTCACCCCCAACCCCATGACAGCGGGAAGACTTATTTATGTGGCAGACAACTGTGTAGTGCCTAGGACACGGCAGGTGAATCTAACTCATTGCTGCGCCACGAGGCTGATTCTGCTTTATTATCCTCTCCATCCGCGTTTCACCCAGGAGGAATTAGAGGCCTAGAGAAGCCGAACTACCTGCCTAAGGTCACGTCAAATGATGCTTGCAGGGGGTGCAGAAAGCATTGGAATCCGTGCAGATCAGCTCAACGAGATGAGCAACAAGTAGACTCCAGTTAGACTGGTTTCTGGCAAAGCTGAACTAGGGAACCAGTTCTAATCAGAGAACCTGCCTGGTCCCCTACACCCTTCTCGGGGCCCCGTGCGCCCCCTAGTGGCTCGAGAGCGCATTTCCTCTAGGTAGCAGAGGAGGAGCGCCAGTCCAAAAGGCAGCAGAGCTGGTCAAGGGAGAGGCGCGTGAAGCTAGGGAAGAGGATCGGGGTGCCCAAGGTAAATACGGTGTTGCCTCTATCCAGCACTCGTCTTCCCCTCTCCCAAGATCCAGTGACTTCAGTGGTTCCTGCTTCCCTGAGACCTCGCGCAGAGAAGCGCTGAGTCACGGTGAGGCGCCCTCCATTCCCCGCCCTTCCCACACTCAGAGCCTAGTCCCAGCGACCACGCCGCTGCGGAGGCCCCGGGTGCCATCGCCGCCCCCTTCTAGGCTGCTGCCACTGCAGCGTGAGTTCCCGGGATCCCCTTCGGGGTGGGCTGGGTAGGGGATGCTGGCGATCAGTTTGCAAGTTCCTGCCTTCCCTCAGCCCTCTGCAGAATCCTAAAGGAGATGGCAAGGGATGCTTAAATCCTGCCGAGATTTGGTGGAAATGGTAGGCGGCTTTTACTTCTGCAGCGCACTGACATCTGGTAAATACCAGAGCAGTTGTTCACATGCTTAGAATTGAATTATGGGAGTCTGGAAGGACCCAGAATAGTCTAGCTGGGGGTTAAAAACTTCCTAGTTGCTTGTGTGTGGATGGTGACAGACCTGAACTACATAATTCTATGCCCCGTGTTCCATTACCCAATAAATCTTAATTGATTATTCTACATTTTGAAAAGATGCATTTTAGCATAGGCCTTGGCTGACTGCGGAGTATCATTGTTAGGTGGATCCCCTCTGAATAACAGCAACTAATATTCTCATAGCACTAACTGCACCTCTTTGAGCTAGGCACTTTGTACTCCCAATAACATGTGGGAAACTGAGACACACAGAGTCCCAAGTCAAAGGGCAGTTGATTCGTGCTGAAGCTGGGATGCAATCCCAGGATGTTTGACCTACCTCTTGCAAAGCACTTCTGGTTTCAGTAGAGGTCTTTGAAGGCATTGTTTATATTTTACTTGCAGGAAAGATCTGGGGAGTTGGGGTTACTGTCTGCAAACACTTGATGTGGAAAGCGATCCATTATATCTGTTCTGTGATAGGCCACTGGTCAGAATTTAAACAGCACACCCATGCATTGCCTCACTTCAGAAGACTTCATGAGAAAACTCAGAAGTTTTTTGCTTAAAGTGTTGGCTCTGAACTTAGGGGATAGATGAGTCTTGAAGATCTCTTTCAATGCCAAGATCTTCAGCACGTTCTGGTGACAGTCACAAATTTTGTGGTTTTCCTCTCTGTTTCCTATGTTGTCACACAAAGCCTCCCTCTAGTCTATCACCTTGCCTTATGAGGTGGCACTGGGAATGTGTGGGACTATCCGGGGTCCAATGAGGTAAAGCAGATGAAGCCTTCATTAGAGGTACTTAGTAAGTGCCCCAAAGAACTGCTACTGCTAACTTTTGTTCAACATGCCTGTAAGATTATGTGAGGTAATTGCAAATAATTAGTGGAGTACTAGGCTCAGGGAAGTATGAGTATACCTGTTCACCATCATTGTTGTTTTAAGCATTTAATCCAGGCCCTATCCATAATAAACGCCCAGTAATTAAACCTGTAACTATGTTGAGCAAGTCTAACTCTAATATCCTTTATTTTGTAGTCTTTGGATAGCTCTTCCCTTTGACTTCTGTTTTGTTATTCCTCCAATTGCTCTTTATCTTCTACAGCTCAGCATTGGAAGATTCTCTTTGTAGACCTTGACATGGGCTCCTCCAAGAAGGTTACTCTCTCTGTGCTCAGCCGGGAGCAGTCAGAAGGGGTAGGAGCACGGGTTCGCAGAAGCATCGGCAGGCCTGAGGTATGCTGGTGGGGGCAGGCACTTCTTTCTTGCTTTTGGAAGTGATTGGTGGGATATTGAGGATAATTTGGGAAGAGAGGGCCATGATGATCATGAGTTGCCCTCTGGATTTCCATAGGGGCAGACTCTAAGCTCTATGCTTGGGGCCCCATGCAGACTAGTCCTGGTCCAAAGGAGATTTCTAGAATGTGAATACAGACTCTGGGCAGCAGGTGGAATTGAGCTCCTGGAGGTATCTCTGTTGCTCATTGAACACCCATGCCCTGCTCTGGGCTGACTTACTGTCTGCCTCAGCATATACTACACCAAGCATGTGCACCCAACAATCCCCCAGTTTATATGTCCAGTCTTCAAATCGCCAGAGAGTGATACCACATTTCAGTTCCAAATTCCTAAGAGAAAATCTTGTTGGCTTGTGCTTGAGTTACTTTCTTGTCACTGTGACAAAAATAGCTGACACTCACAGTTTAAAGGAGGGATTTATTTTGGCTCATGTTTTGAGTCCAGGATTGCCTGGCTCCAAGGTAAGGGCAGTGAGGCATGGTGAAGAAAAACTGCTCTAGTCATGGTGACTAGGAAGCAGACCATGAGAGGAGGAGCTAGGGAGGGAGATACAACCTTCTAGGCCATGTCCCCAGTGATCCACCTCTTTTCACGAGATCCAGTTTCCCAACAGTATGTCTGATATATGCTTCCATGATTCAAGCACCTTCCAAAAGCACCTGGGCACATGAGACTCTTGGGGGGGATATCTAGACATAAACCATAACAGGTTGGCAGGAGTCAGGTCTCCATTCCTGGCCAAGTCACATGTCATGGATGGGATTTCACAGAGAAACTGGTGAGATGCACCTCAGAAGATACCTTGTGAGGGACAGGTATTGATGAGGACTCAGAGAATATATGACTGTGGATTAGGTAGTTTTTATTAAGAGTAGGCAATCTTTTCATTTGAGTAGAACTTGAGATGCATGGGGAAAATTTTTATAGGCACAGAAAAGTAGCAAACAGTGGTCATGGTCAATGAATAGAGTCCTCAGTGTCATATCAGATTTCAGTGTTTTTAATAACAGAAAAAATACATTAGGCAAATAGATTCAAGTTTGAAAAATAAGGGACTTGTCAGCTGTCTTAAATTCTAATCAGATATTTTCATATTACTTTGTTGCTAGAACTAAGCTTTATAGTATTCATTACCCAAGAGTTACTTTCTCCATTTTTTAAAATAAAAGGTGTATTTGAGAAGTATTCATAGCATTAAAAAAACCTCCTAGTTCTCAATGAATCTTGCCCTACCTTGTTGGTGAATTCAATTTTTTAAAGCTATTTTTTTAATTGAAAAGAGTGTATGGATTTATGGCGCACAACATGATATTTTAGTTTATGTATGTACTATAAAATGAATAAAGCAAATTAATTTACACATGCATTATATCACATAATAATTTTTTACCATTGTGAGAATATTTGTCTACAGTCAATAATTTTGAACTATAGAATACATTGGCATGAACTAAGGTCACCATGTTGTGCAGTGGATCTCTCAATCTTATTCCTGACGTCTAACTGAAACTGTGCCCATTTCCAGCCACTAGTGCTCACTATTTTTCCTGTATCTACTTGTTTACATTCCACATATAAACAAGATCATGCAGGCTTCATTTTTCTGTGCCTGGATTCTTTCCCTGAGCATGACGTTGACTGGCTTAGGAGGCAGGGGCAAACCACCAACCCAACTCTCCTTTAGCCCCATCAGACTTCTTTGGTTGTGCCTTTGCCATGTCTCTTTCCAAGATTTACTTCCTGATTACTCATAAATACCTGTTTAGGTCCCTCAAGTGCTGTTAATGCCTCCAAGCTTTAAATGATTAAAATGCTAAGTTTTAATTTGTACATATTTTACCACAATAAAGGATTCAGAAAAACTTATTTAGAGGATAATAAAATAAAAATGTATCCTTTTTTTGAGACAGGGTCTCGCTGCATAGTTCAGGCTGACCTTGAACTCACCATGTAGCCCATGCTGGCCTCAAATGCATGGCGATCCTCCTGCCTCAGACCTCTTGAGTGCTGGGATTATGGACATGAGCCACCATGCCCAGCAAGATAAAAAAATTTTTTATGACCCAGGTTTATAACATCCTTGAATTTTGTTCCATGGTCCTAGGTAAGAATCCTTGTCTGAAAACCTAGAATTTAAAAATGATCATATTCTATTCAGGTCTCCTGTGTCTCAGGTCTACTTCTACCCTAAGGAAAACTGAATGGATAGGACTAAATACTCAGCTCATCAGCTTGGCAGAAGACAGAGAGTATTTGCTTTTGTTTCCATATTGTCGTATATTTTACATCATGAAGATTGTTTAGAGTGAACAATTTTGTGTCCTGGTTTTTTTATTTAATGTAGGAGGCAAGGCTTTCCCGTGAATTTGTCCAATGTCAAAGAAGTTACTTTTGAAACTCTGCACCAAGGTTTATGTCTCTGAAAAAATACTCCCTAAACTTTGAACTCCAAAGCCATTTGCAAGCTCTGTTGCATAGAATTTACAACAGTGCTTAGTATTAGCAGTGACAAATGATATTTTCTCCAACATTGCAAATGTGGAGATGGAAGAGGAATTTCTACTGCTCACACTGAAACTTTGTATGATCCACAGTAATAAAGAGAGACTGGAAGTGATTCTCATCTTTCAATACAGTTGTACATAGGCTGGGCTAGCCAGACGGAAGTCTGAATGGTCAAGTACCACAGTGTTAGTGCGTGGTTCCTCTGGGCTTCCCACAAGAGCAGAAACCACTACTTACTTACACATGTAACCACCCCATTCCTCCTTCCACTAGACACTCCTCAGTGGAGTGGAATTCACTTTTGGCTACTCTTATTTGTCTTTTATTTAAATAACTTTCAAATAAAGAAAAATAGAGAAAGTAATATAATGAATTTCCATGTTCCTGGCATTCGCAATGATCAGTTCTTGGGGACTTTTGTTTCATCTATATCCTCTTCCATTTGTCCCATTTCAGTATTTTGAAGAGCATCCCAGCCATCATTTCATTTATAACTATCCGTCTGTCTCTAAAACGTAAGAAAATTTAAAAATATATGTGTAAGTACAATTGTATTAATACTTAGAAATTAAAGTAATTCCTTATGTCATCAAATAGCCCCGCTAATCTTGGTCTTCATTGATGTAGGCCCTGTAGACAGTGTTTTCGAGTATCAAGATCACTGGATATTGCATCAAGGCAGATGGTTTAGGCAGTGGTGCACACCTATGGCATGCATGCCACAGCGTGCTATTTGCAACATTTGCAAGCTCTGACAGGTTCCCCATCACTGGTCTAGAGTCACAGGTCAAGACAGTTCAAAGCTGTATCTCTCTTAGTTAGGATATGTGCTGGTGATTCATGCAACCTTCTCATTTTTACTCTCGGGGCCCAATTTAGAGGCAAAGTAAGCCTAAGAGGTAGTCTGAGCTGGTGGAATCTACCTTGAAATGACTCTTTTCTGCTGCCATATTGTCTTGATATAGGCTGCTTCCACAGGTATTATTGCCTTTATGTCAGGTAGGATTAAGTTTGACTGCGTGTAACAGAAAGCAACCTCCCAAACCAAGGGATAACATAAGTACTTTTGTTTCTCTTCTGTAAAGCCTTAAAATAGGCAGTGTGTAGGGTCTGAAGGCTCCACTCTTATCAGAGACCCACGTTCATGCCATCTTAAATCACAATTCTTCCTACAATTCTAGTACATCACCTTAGGTCAAAGACAGCTGTTGAAGCAATAGCAGCCATGTGTCCTCTGACACAGAAAGGAAGAACAGGAGAAAGGCAAAAAGATACACATTAGGTACTATTTTTCTTTTAGAAGGAATTTCCTAAAAGTCCCATCCTATAACTTCTCCTTGTAGCCATATATAATCATAAGCTCTCATCTAGCTAAAGAGAGCCTAGGGAATCTAACACCAGTACCTCTCAGGATGTTTGTGGGACACCTTTTATATATAGGATTAGGCTAGAGTCAATGGAGCATCATGAAAAAAACAGTGTGAGTCCTGTCCCCAAGGAACTGCCATTCCTCTTAGGTACTTCCAGTTATTCCTGATTTAAAAAAATAGACCAGGCTTGTGAAGCTTTACAATGGCAGTGCCACTGGCCTGAGCAGTGGTAGCCACAAGTTGAATTAACCTTCTCAAGAGATCAAAAGAAGCAGCTTGGAACCTGATACTCATTTGGCAGCTAAAGGATTTGGAGGTGTTTGAGGTGAAGGGAAAAAAAATAAAAGATCAGTTTTTTTGTTGTTTGTTGTCTTTTTCCTTTTTATCGGTACCAGGGATCGAACTCATGACTGCCTGCTTGCAAGGCAGGCACTTATGCCGCTGAGCTAAATCCCCAGCCCAAAAGATCAGTTTTATATGCACAGGAAGAAAGATGTGATTGAGTTGGAGACTTAGTTAAATCATTTTAGGAAATCAGAGTTCTCAGTATAAATCTGAACTTAGATGACCCATGTTTCTGGAACATATTGTTGAATCTGTGCTAAATGGTTAGAGAAGATTAGGAGCTTTGGTGATGACTTTTCCTTGTAAGTAACCCTTTAGTACAACAGTCAAATACAAGATATTTTTGCTTACTTTAGGAAAGGTGTCTCTTACACGTCTCCTACATTCCAGTCAGTTAAACAGCTCATCCCTGTGACTCTTGCCTCCGCCAGCCTGTTGGCACCTGTAGTCTCTTCCCCGTCTTGCAATTTTTTCCGTGTGCACCCATATGCTGTGAATTGGTGACCACAGGGATGGAATGTGCAAGTAGCATGACACATGGTACTGATTTGTGTGTGTTCCTTCCCCAAATTCATATATTGAGATCCTAACCTTTCTAGTGATAAGGCCTTTGGGAGGTAGGTACATAGTGGTGGTTGAATGTTCATAAATGGGATTCATTCCCTTACAAAAGAGACCACAGAGAGTTATGTAGCTTGAACAGAGTAAAGAACATTGGTAATGAGTGTGGTCATTTTCCATTGTTTTAGACAGTAGGCCCTGGTTTCTATTTAGGTGGCTCCTTATCAAGTGGTCATTTGGCTACACCATCATTACTTTTTCTCAAACGTGCTTTCTCATTTTTTGCAACATAAGTAGCCTGGAAATTTTCTACATCTTTTAAAGTTTTGCTTCCCTTTTCATCAACAATTCTGCCTTTAAATCATTTCTCTCTTCTTGCATTTTACTATATGCAATCAAGAGAAACCAGATTATACTTTCAACCCTGCTTAGATCTAGCTTTAGCTAAATATTGTTTCATTACTCACAAGTTTAACTTTTCACAAACATGAAGATTTGAACATAATTCGACCAAGTTCCTTGCCACTTTATAACAAGGATACTTTCTTCCAGTTTCCATAATATATGCTCCATTTCTTTCTGAGCCTTCGTTGGAATGAACTTTACTGTTTAGAATTACTTAGATATTCTCTGAACAGTTTAGATAGTACCTATATAAAGGTCTTCGCTTTTCTTTCTGGGCTCTCCCCAGAGTTGCTTTTAACTGTCCATTCAATGGCAGTGTAAGTTTTTTTCTAGAATGAACCTCAAAACTCTTCTGGCTCCTACCCATTACCCAATTCCATAGCCTCTTTCACATTTTTAGATTTTCCTTACAGCATCTCCATTTCTCAGTACCAGTAAATTATTACTGTTCTGGGGGTGGTTGGTGAGAACAGAGAACCTCTTCTTTTCACAGTTTATTTGACAACAGAGCATATTTCATATTGGTTCATATGAACATTGATATCAAGAAATAATATTTCTTTCCCACATTTTAATATCAAAGAACCACAGTATAGAACTGGAAATACGTTTTAGAGCTCCAAATCTTTTGTTTTGCACTGAGGAAAAGATGGTTCAGAGATTTATAGGATCAGTGCAGTACCACAGATACCACATTATTTCTTTTCAATCTTTACAATCTTTTGAAATATGTATTATCTGTAAGAAGAAAAAAGTTACAATGTTATATGAAAATTCTGAACCTCTCTTCTTACCAACCCCAGTTCTTTTCCTAGGGTTTCATTGAGTTGAAATGGAATAATAAGTGATAGGACAAGATTGACTAGATCCATGATCCGCATAGTTGATCCTGGAAAGGGGGTAGGTTCCATCTTACTGATAAAGGAAAAAAAAAAGAAAAGAGTAAATCTAGAGTGTGAGAGAGGAAGAGAAGAAGAGACTGTGTCCAGATAATTTAAAGAGACTTGAAAACTTAGAGTGAGAGAAGATGGAAATTTTGGAGACAAATATGTAGAAAGGAAGTTAAGGAGAATTTTAAACATCTCTTTAAATTAAATCCTTTTGGTATTTTTGAGAGGCTTCGACACAATTTGAATTGACTTTCAGCTGAATATTGGACTGAGTGACAGACTAACCAGTAATAAGTTAAAAAGTAACCCCACTTTGTGTGGATCATATTCCAAATTTTAAAGTGAAGATGCTGGAACTTTGCTAGGCTAAAGAACTTGAAGTAGCCTACTGAATTTAGATTTTGATGCATATATATATATATATATATATGCACACACACATATATATGCACACATATAATGTATATATTTGCATGTATATTTTTTCACAGAAAGTGGAAACAAAAATAAAGCCAGAGAAAAATAAAGAAATTTATATTTTTATTTCTAGCAATATGAAAGAGTTGATATCCTGAAATAAAGTACTTTTAAAAAATCAATTAGGTGGGCTGATAAGAAGTTAGAGAAACTCGTGAAGTGTAAAAGTATTGAGAAATAAAAAAGAAATGGAAAATCTAAATAGTTTCATTGCAGTACAAATAATTGAATCCGTATTTTAAAAGTTTTTCTCAAAGACAACAGGTCCAGATGATTTTACAGACAAATTTTGCTAACTATTTAAGGTTCAGAAAAATTCCAATAATAAGAAATTCTCCAGGGAATGAAACTGGAAAGAAGTGGTCCTCAAATCACTTGATGAAGTTGAAATTGCTCTACTGCGAGGACTGGGTGATGACAAAAATGAAAGGGTAATTATATCACATTCATAAATATTTTTGCAAGAGTTACAAATAAAATATTATCCAGCCAAATACACCAATGTATATAAACAATAATATTTCATGACCAAGTTTGTAATATCTGAAAAGAGCAAGTTTGGTTTAATGTTAAAAAAAAAACCGTTGCACACAATTTACTAACATTTTGAGTTTAAAGGAAGCTGAGTGTGGTGGTGCATGCCTATAATCTCAGCGCTCTGGGAGGCTGAGCCAGGACGATTGCAAGTTTGAGTTCAGCTTGGGCAATTTACCAATTTAGTGAGACCTTGGCCTAAATATATTAATTTACATATGCTATGTCTATATCACATATTTACATATATTATTTATATTATGTATTTAAATTTAAAAATATACACCATACATAAATTGTGCACATATATATGTTTTTAAAATATAATGAGTTCAATCCCAGTATCACACAAAAAGAGTTTAAAAAGAGAAAACATATATAAATATTGCATTTCATGAAGAAAAAGCATTGAGAATTCACCATCCATTTACATTTAAAAAAATAGTCAACAACCTAGTAAGCTAGAAATAGAAGGGAAGCCCCTGAATCTTATGAGGGGAGTGTACAAACAGCAGTTAAAATTAAAACAACATCTGCATTAAACAATCTGATTACCAGTGATACTTCAGAATTCAAGCTGGATAAAGTCAGTGGCAAGGCAAGTATGTCTGCCACTGTAACTTCTACTTGACACTTGTAGAGGTGCTAGCTTGCAAAAAGACCAGGAAAAGAAATAGAAATTATAAGAATTGAAAATGAAAAAAAGAAATGTTTGTTTTCTAATGGCTCTTTGTTGGCAGATGGCTCCCAGATACCGGCTCCATCCTTGTGATAGGTTGATGCACGCCCACCCATTTTACCTGCATTACCCATGACTTCCGTGGGCAGGATTGTGGTGCTGTCCTCCTGACTTTGGCCTTGACCATGCTTGTCCTTCATAGTGGCCACTTTCCTAGGCTGAGCCCATGAGTGAGGATATATGTAAAGGCCAGTTGAGGCCAGGAAAACACAGAAGAATCAGACCTGGCACAGCTTTAATCTAGTACAAGCAAAATACATACATACATATATACATACATACATAAGTGAACTGTTAGGGAAAGACTTTTTTTGAGGGAAGTGTGGATTGAGACAGGGTCTTATTATGTAGTCCAGATCAGCCTTTAACTCGCTGTGTAGCCCAGGCCGCTCTAGAACTGGCTGTCCTTCTGCCTCAGCCTCTTGAGTGCTCAGAGAAAAAATGGGTGCCACCATGCCCACACTGGGGAAAGGCTCCTTGGTAAACACACTGGCGATATGAATATCTTGTGAAGAAATCCCAACAGAAGCGACAACTGAATTATTAAAATGAATGAAAGCTCAGTGGTGTTCAAAATCACCTATTTGGATTTCTACCCAGCAGCAAACTGTTCAAAATGTAATTGGAAATGCTGTTTATAATACCATTAACTATGTTAACTAGAAGCAAGTAAAAGCATATATGGAAAACTTCTATGAAGAAAATTATAAATTCTTACTATGGGATATTTTAAAAGATTTTTTTTAAATGGGTACAACTGTATTCATAGTCACTGAACCATTTCCCATTACTACTGCCACTGCTTTAGTTCTTTTTTTTTAAATTAATTTTATTTTTATAGTTTAGTTATACATAATGATTATATTTGTCATAGGGAATTTATATCTATACATAGTACATCCTAATTCTTCTTACCAAACTACTGAAATGAACTTCTAAATATTCTTCTATTACCTTACCAAATCATCTTTCTTTTGTTTTGTTCTTTTTTGTTTTTATTTTTATTAGTATGTTTTTGAAACACATAATGATTACATTCCTCATGGGAAGGTGGTACATGTACATGACACATCTTAATTCTTTCTTTATGTCCTTCCTCTTCTCTCCCTCCGGCATCTCTCTATCCCTTGGTACCCTTCTATTTGCATAGAGTGATCTTCTAGATTCTGATTATTTCAGTCTCCTATTAAGACCCGTCGCCTTCAGGATAAGGTCTGAGTGTCTTTTGACCTCTGTCCTCCTGCCCATCTTTCATCATAATTCCATGCGCCTCTTTTCCCCCAGTAGAGTAGTTCCCTTGGACTTCTTCAGGCATGCCAAAGCTGTCTGTTCTTCTGTCTTAGATACTCTTCCTTTTCCTCTTTCTCCTTACATGTACTTGAAGACTCAGCTCAAGTGTCACCTCCCTGGTAACACCTCCCAGGATTCCATCCATTCTCATACATGCAAAGTTGTTTTCTTCCCCGTGCTTATACTCACATTGCAGTGATCAATTTTCTAGTCTATTCTTCCATGCTATTATGAATCTGTTCAGGATACAGACTGATCTTATTTGCACTTGATTATTTATATCTTAAATCATCATGGAATGTTTGTCCACTCTAGGCTCTTCTCAAAAAATGTCAGCTCTAGTATATCAGTGAGCCTTCATGTGTATGTATAAGGAATTCTTTCCTAAAGTAATTTTCATTGCAAAAGTTTCCTCACTGGCTATGGGGTTTTCAACGAGTTATTCTAGATTTACTCAGGAACATAGCTCTAATAGCATGGCTTAAAAAAGGCATAGCTAACTACTGAATTATTTTTTATTTTAGTTAAAAAATCTGGATCCATTTTTACTGTTTGATGAATTCAAAGGAGGTAGACCTGGAGGATTTCCTGATCATCCACATCGAGGTTTTGAAACAGTAAGTGTAATAATGTGGCTGCAGAAGTGTATATTTTAAAATGATTTTTTTGTTGTTTGTTTTGAGGCAGACTCTCACTATGTAGTTCAGACTAACTTTGAACTCACTATGTAACCTAGGCTGGCCTCAGACTTACAGTGATCCTTCTGCCTCAAGCTTGTGAGTGCTGGGATTAGAGGCATGTGCCACCACGCTGTGCAAAATTTGATTCTTAATTCTAATACAAAATTCAATTTTAGAAGCAATGAATAAATAATAGGCTGAAACTAATATATATGTTTCTAGTGACATGCTATCTACTATAGAATTGTAATACTTATTTTATCTGAAATACACTGAAATTCAAATATTTACTCTTTTAATGTCTTTGAATTTCTGCCACTGGAGACATTCCTATTGGAGTAAAGAGGAGGAATTGACTTATTAAAATATCTTTATATTTAAAATAATTTACTGGAGATAAAAGAAACCAAAATTTTTGTATAGAAAATTTTTTCTATGCAAGAATAGTCAGAATGTTTAAACTCGTGTGACATTACAAGCCTCAAAAGACTATCCAAAAACCCAATAAATACTTATGTTTAATTCCAAGAAATTATAAAGTCAAGGGAGCAAAATACAATCAAATTTAAACATGAGAGTTTTAAAAGACATACCTATGTATTTACAAGTTCAGTTGCAAAATTTGGAGATTCTGTTAAATACTTAATGTTTGATTGTAGTGAAACGTGGAAATAAAATGTGTAACGTACGATTGTGGCACTTTCAGCAATTCCCCTCTCCACACAGTTGCTTCCTGTTACTAAGTTTAGCCATTTGTGAAGGAGAACAACCTGTATTCTCAGTAAACAGTCCAGGCCTGTTAAAAGCTTAATGTGTTTATAAAGCCAACAGTAAGTGAGCAAATATTTACTGAAGACCAGCGAGACACAGGGGCGTAGGGTGACCTTTTGTATGTTAGTTGTGGATTGTGTGTTGGAAAAAGTGACAGAGTACAGAAGAATGAGGGGGTGACCCCCACTTGTCTTCCTATGTAGTCTAGTTAAGGAGGTGAGCCATGGACAAGCAAAGAGTTAACCACCACATCATGAAGATAGAATGAACCAAGAAATTTCTAGAAACAAGATTTGAGTGGCTTCGTTTAGTCTGACAGTTGACACCTCAGAGTGTCACACTGTTGGCCTTCCCTACACCTGAGCTGGTTTCCTCTCAACTCACAGGACATGCTTTTCCATGGCTCCAGTTATCACCATATTCTTTAAGATCCTTTCAGCTATCATTATCTCTGTCAACTTTTCCAGACAGTCCCAAAAGGAAACACTTTCTCTTGCCTTGGATCCCAATAGGATTATACTCTTTACTAGTCTCACATATGATGTACCACTACGGTAGCCTTGATTATAGTCTCTCTGGGTTGCATTAGAATTGCAAATTGCCTCAACCTCACCGCCTGTCACCCATGGGGACTGAGTATAAATTGCTTCTGCTGGAGATACTCAGTAACCACTGGCTGAATATTGAGCAGAGATGGTTATTATTGAAGACAATGGATATATTCAATAAACTGTAGGATGAATCATCTTGCCTGCATTTCCATTATAGAAAGTATCTTCTGAGGTAGGTGCTTTTAAAATCATGAGATGCTTGACCTTAAACAAGTCTGTGACAAAGTTCAGTTGCAAAATATTGATGTTTGGCCCTTCCTTTTTGATTAAGGACTTTCCTTAAAACTGAGGCTGTGGCTATAATTGATCCTCGTTATTTGCAGTTTCTGTGTTTATGAATTCACCTACTTTGAAAACTTAGTGGTGACCTCCAAGTCAGTACTTGTGGAGTTTTCCTGGTAACGCATGAACATTTGCAGAGTGGCAATTTTTTTTTTTTTTTTTTTTTTTTTTTTTTTTTTTTTTTTTTTGTCTTTTTGAGACAGGATTTTGCTATGCGATTCAGGCTGACCTTGAGCTCACTTTGTAGCTCAGGCTGGTCTTGAACTTGCAACAATCTTCCTGCCTCAGCCTCCCGAGTGCTGGGATTACAGGCATGAGTCACCATGCCCAGCTGGTAAAAATTTTAATTGTCCCATGTTTGTAATTCCAGCTGGAACAAGATGATGCTTTGCTTTCTTGCTTTGGCTGTCGTAACATAACCAAGTGTCCTTTTCACAGTCTTGGTGTTACATTTCTTACATTTGGGAGCTTTTTTTGTTGGCAATTTCATGATTTAAAAGGACTCACAAGCAGTACAGCAGTGCTATCTAATATTTCTGAGCCCAATAAGGCTATTCATGTGACTTTTCTCACAGAGAAAATGTGTATTTTCAATTAACTCTGCTTAGGTATAAGTTGCAGGGCTTTTTAGTGCTGTTCTCTGTCAGGCTGAGTTTGCTGGTAATTAATCAAAAGCATGTATTTTTTTTTGTCTTTTTCAATTTTATCGATACCAGGGATCGAACTCAATGACTGCCTGCTTGCAAGGCAGGTGCTTATGCCGCTGCCTTAAATCCCCAGCCCCCAAAAGCATGTATTGTGCAAGGTGTCACTGAACAGAAATACACAGAAGACAGTCATATATTGGTATGTTAACCAAAATAAGACCAGAATCTTAAAGGAGCTTTATCCTATATTTCTTTACCCTTCCTTCCTTCCTCTTTTGTTTTGTTTTGTTTTTTTTTTCTTTTCTATTTCTCTTTCTTCTTTTTCTTTCTCCTTCCTTCTACTTGCTTTTTAAATTTTCTCTCCCTCCTCCCTTATAACCCCAGCCTTTGGGTCCCATATTCTTCTAGGAGCAGTGGTTCCATATTCACTAATTCAGTGATCACGGCAACTTTGTAGAACATAACTACCTCGAATCATGAGAAATGACTATCAGTTTTCGCTAGGAGTGTAGGTAAGCCAGGGCTCAACTGCATTTTAATGTGAACTTGAAAACTGTACTTTAAAGCCAAGTCCATCTGTATGCTCTTATCACCTGTTCTCCAGAGCATTATCTAAATTCTTAAGGCTCATAAATTTTGAAAATGCTGGCTAGTATAAAGGACAAATTAGGAACACCTCTTATGTTACCATCCACAAGCAGTTTTTATTATACCTTGATATATTTTCTTCCAGTACTTTTTTTCTCCTGGTATAATGTTATGTATGTTTTGGATGTTTTCTAACCTAATATTATACTGTTAGTATTTTCTCAGTGTTCTTCGAAAAACTTAAATGACCTCATTAAGCACCTGTCATGATGATTATAACAATCGACATTACCACAGTGATGTATGCAGGTACCTGTTTGCTCTCACCACCACCAACACAGTGTATTTACTTGCCTTGGAAATTTTTACCGTTTTGGCAAGTGAGAAACAATGCCTCATGATAGTTTTAATTTATATTTCTCTTATCTGGGTGTGGTTGATTTTCTTTTCACTTTAAAATATTTGCTCATCATAGATATGCTTTTAGCTTATTTTTTCCAATTGTGCTTTGTTTTCAATAGTGTAAGAACTGTAAGTACATCCTTTTCAAGCTACACTGAAGTTTGGCAGGGCTTTCCAAACTTTATTTCTGTTGTGGTTATTCTTACTGCTGAGAGGAATTCTTCATATGTTAAGGAAGTCAGGCCGTTTTCTGTGATAGGAGATGCCACGATGACAAGACAGATTAAAACTGGATGTAGTGGTGTACACCTATAATTCTAACATTTTTGAGGAGACAGGAAAATCTGAGCTTTGAACCCACCTTGTGCAATTTAGGGATTTAGCAAGATGCTGCTCCCAACAAAATAACAGACACACAAAAGGTTACGGGTGCAGCCTAGTGTGAAGGCCTTGGATTCAATCCCTAATACTTCAAAAAATTTTTTAGACTTCTAAACACATAAAATCAAACCAATAAATCGAATGTGCTTCTTGGATTAGGATGAGTTTCTTATGCCCACAAGCTTCACTTGCATATTCATGTAACAGTGGTGTTATCAGGGTCAGAGACTCTGGAAATAGTGCTGTGTTACAGTTCATAGCTTTTTTTCTAACTAAAAAGGCAGTCATGCTGTACTAGCACATTAGTATAAAATATAAGTAAAATTTTGATGTATGCTTAATTTACAAAAACTTACTGTGATCAAAGAAATGTGAACAGTGTGATTCTATGGGATTTTCATTACCTCAGTGTGTGATTCATGAAGCAGCAGTATTTCCTGGAATCTTCACCCTCCACTCCAGAACTACTGAATCAGAATCTGCCTTCCAATGTCATCATCCAGTGATTAACAGAGAAATGTTGGTCTAAATGACTTTTTAAGTCAGAAATATTATGATTCTATGAGTAAGAAGCAGAGCCTCATTTTACTGAGCTAATAATCAAGTCATTTTAAAAAAAATGTAACTTTTAGGTTTGAATAGCTCTGTATTTTTGTGTTAGAAGCTTGCTAGCCAATAGCAGATGAAAGCATACCTGTAGCTGGTGGTCACATGACAAAGGGAGGAGACATGCTTTCAGGATTTCCTGCCCAGAGTTTAGACTCTGGGAAGGATTGTTTTCAAAAGGCCTGAACAGTAAGTTATGGGTAGAATAATTTTGCAGTTACCCTACACCTAGTCAGGCCTCATACCATACTTTATTTCGAGCAGTTAAAAATCATCAGGAAGAAAGAGCAACCTGAAAAGTGGGCAAACCCTGCCTAAGTTTACTTTAACACCAAAAAGAGGAGCTGATAGTTCACACATTGTTGGTGAACAAACCTTTGCCTACACTAGGAAGAAGGATATATTGTGCCCTCAAGAAAATCACCTTTGGGCTGGGGATTTAGCTCAGTGGCCTGCCTTGCAAGTAGGCAGTCGTGAGTTTGATCCCCGGTATGGATAAAAAGAAAAACGACAAAAAAAAAAAAAAAAAAAAAAAGAAAGAAAGAAAGAAAAGAAAATCACCTTTAAATTATGAGCTTGAGGGGCTGAGGATTTAGCTGAGTGGCATAAGCACCTGCCTCACAAGCAGGCAGTCGTGAGTTTGATCCCC